ACCCGTGACAAACCCTCCCAGGCAGTGCTGGACGTGTCATTACTTGGCCATGCCCAGCACTGGGTGTTTGCTGCCATCTCCTCCTTGCAGGTGTGGTACATCAGAGAGCACAGCTGAGATGCTTCGTGTCCAACAGATGAGCCAGGCTGGGTGCAGCTCGTGCCAGAAGTGTTGTAGTGGTGTCTTAGCATGCAGGAAAAGCCAGTGATGCTGTTCCCTGCAGCAGTGCTGGAGGTTCAGCGTGTTGGTGTTTTTGGGTATCGTTAGCTGCTCGTGTTTTCATTAGAGTTTGATAGTTATTGCTCAAACTAGCACTTTAGTTTCCTGGTGTGGACTTAAACCTAATAGCTCTTGAGTGCTTTACTGTCTTTTGTTCCTCTTCTCCCCATAAACTGGTTGGAAGACACTCCAATAAACGAGTGAAAATCTTCAATCAGCACCTGAGATTGGCACAGGAGGGGCTTAGACCACTGTAAAAGTTTCCTGTTCTGTTTGCTTGGAAGTTTTCTTCTCTCTCTAACTCCAGAACTACCTGGAAGAAGGGGGTTGTCTTCCTAAAGAAGAATCTACTTAGAGAATCTGCTTATATTTTGTGATTAAGGAGGAATATCTGCTTCCCTGAGGGAGGGAGATTTCTTATGGAAGAATAATGCAGGTGATACCATCAATAATCATTAACTATGAGCAGCTCTCCTGGTGCCTTTCTGCCTTGAGCAAATCATTCTCAAACCAGCATGTTTATACCCAGCATATTTTGTAAGCACATTATTTGTTGTCTAAGCCAAACCATCTCACATCTAAAAATCCTTGACAAGACCATTACTGAACAGTTTTTGCCAAGGCAAACTTCTTTAAAATGAACTTTCTCATCCAAGGAGGTTTTGTGAATCTGCTGCAGTGGGTAATGCTCTTCACTGCTCAGTATTCCTGACCTGGATTTGGTACTGGGAGAGGAGAAAGGCAAATAAATGTTGTTTAAGGGAGTGGAAAGTGGTTTGAAGCTTATTGTGTCGACATAAACTTCTCAGTTGAATTCCATAAACATTAAGGCTTGAAAACTGAAGAGAAGCTTTCAAGGGACATGATGCAGTCCTTGAGGTATCTCCATCTCTTTCTCTGGAGCTGGAGAGGATGTTAGTATCGGTGAGCTGGCAGCTACTCTTCCAATTTCAAAGGAAACCCAAGTGTGACTCAGCTTTACAAGAACACTGCTTTAAGCGCTGTTAATCCTGGCTGACTACTCCTGTGTTTTGTTTGCCTAATATTCCCGTTAAAGACAGCCAACATGGTTTGTTCTCCTCTCAGCCACCTAAGGCAGAACTAGAGCAGTAATTTAGGGCCCAAAAACCTCCCTGACGAAATGCTGCTGGAATGTGATGTGTCACATCTGGTGAAAGGGCTTCGAAAATTCACACTAGCCCTTTATTTGGGGATGGTTGGGACTGAAAGGTCCTTGGAAGGTGGGAAAGAAGGCAAAAAGCCTGGGGAGGTTTGATATTCAGATGGCTGATGTTTGCTAGGAACTGCAGTGATAGGACAAGGAGGAATGGGGAGAAATTGAAAGAGGGAAATTTAGTATAGAAAAGGATTTCCCTGTGAGGGTGATGAGACACTGTCCCAGGTTGCCCAGGGAGGCTGTGGCTGCCCCAACTCTGGCAGTGTTCACAGCCAGGTTGGCTAAAGCCTTGAGCAACCTGCTCTGCTGGGAGGTGTCCCTGCCCAGGGCAGGGGGTTGGGGCTGGATCATCTCTAAGCTCCATTCCAATCCCTTAACTATCTATGCATCTATTTTTAGAAGACATAACTGAAAATACAGTAAAAAGCCCTGAAGTCTGAGAGGTTTTGCTGCCAGTGTTTTGGAGTCAGGGAAAAGATATTTGGATGCAGCTGGAAATCATTGCAATTGGTGGATGTGAGCCAAGAAATATGTGTGTGTTTGGGAGCAGCCAGAGCAGCTGAGTAGTTAATATCCTGCTGCAAGTATGTGAGGATTGCTGGATTCCCAGCCATTTGCCTTTTGGGTATTGCAGTTCTCATCATAGAACCACAGCGTATGGAATCTCCTGAGCTGGAAGGGACCCACAAGGGTCATCAGTCCAACTTCTGCCCTGCACAGACACCCCAACATCCCACCCTGTGCTGAGAGCATTGGCCAAACACTCCTGGAGCTCTGTCAGCCTTGGGGCTGTGACCACTGCCCTGGGGAGCTGTTCAGTGCCCAAACACCTCTGGGGGAACAACCTTTGCCTGATATCCAACCTAACCCTCCCCTGACACAGCTCCAGCTGTTCCCTCTGGTCTTGTCACTGGTCACCAGAGAGCAGAGTGCCTGGTCTTGCTCCTTCTCCCATGATTATCCAGCTGTGGATTACCTGTCTGCTGCAGAGGTGATTATTGAGGTGCTGCTTCCCTCTTCCTTGGTTTGAAGGGAACACCAGGCAGTGTTGGTCCCTTTCATGGCCATTTTAGGCTGGTTCTGTTTGCTAAGGAATAGAGATCATCCTCAGCCTGCTGGGGTTAAGAGTTGGGGAAGACTCTTCTGCTTTTAGATGGCAACTGAAGAGAAAAATCTTGATTAATATAAATGGCTTGGAGAATAATTCAGTGTGTTGAATAATAAAGACATCAGAGCCATAGTTAGGATCATCTCCATGGAATGCAGACTCTGAACTGCTGGGTTCTTTGGAGGGTGAGCAGCACAGCTGCCAAGGGCTCTTTAAAGTCTGGTGTGTTACAGCAAATACAGGATGAGCACATGAATGAGCAATCCTCCTATTGTCTCACTTCCTTGGAAGTTTAAACTGCGAATTAAATCCCCTGCCCCATTGTCATCCTCTACCTTCCTGCTGCTTCTCCTTCCTCTCTTCACTACAAATAGTCTCCCTTGGTTTAAGTGTGAGGGAGAAAGTAAGATTGGCATTTTTAGCTGGTAAATGAGGTTAATCAGCTTGGTGGTGGGTGGGAGAAATATGCTCTGGGGTTAAGACTGTGATATTCGTGGTTAGCAGGACCCTGATTATCAATCCAGTGTACATTTCCTGCTGCTAGGCAGGAACTTTTTTTGGTTCAAAATCACCTCATTGTTTTATTGTTCCTATAGTGAAGAGAAACCCAGGGATTGTGGGAGGGTGTGAGTGTGTGTAGAAGGTGGAATCCTTTTCTCTTGAAGACACTGTTGAGCCTGACAGAAGGGAATTAGGGCTGTAAATCTGCACAATGCACAAGGCAAAGAAATGGAACTCCTGGAATTTCTGCAGGATGAGGAAGGTTAGTCTGAGCACACTTGAAGATGTGTGATTTTGGCAGCTGCCTGGAATGGCTGAACTGCTGTGGGGGGCAATGCTAATCCTCCTCCTTCCTAGCTTTTAGCAGAGTCAGTAAAAATATGCAGATTTCCAAAAATACTTCCCTCTGCAGAACGCACAGAGCATGGTGAGGATGCAATAATACAGCAGGATAAGCTGCATGCAGCCAGGATCCCTCAGTCCCACAGTTAAATAAAACCTTGAGCAGCAGCAGATCAATTTTTGCAGTGTCTGCTTGACTCC